GAGGCGTAGGTGTCTTCATGTATTATTGTCGCTTGCTGGTCTCCTCGAACCACAAGACGAGCCTTGCATTTCTGAAAACGTCCATGTTTGTCGAATTTGTAGGTATATATCCACATGGAATCAAGCACCTGTTGGTTCCTTGCTGATTGATCCGACTTGGATATCTCAATCCAGGACTGCATCTCTATATGACTATTCAGATGGATGCGTTCAGCTTCATTGAAAAGTGACCCCATCAGATGGGTTGCAAGGTCGCCATGCGATCTTGGGGCCGCTGGAAGTTGTGAACGATGTAAGCTCTTTGGTTTGGAAAGGATGCGGAGAAACTTAGCTCGGTCAATCTGCTTTCCATTGACCTTGCCGATCGGTGCGGCATGTCGACCAGCGGCAAAAGCAGCCTTCCAGGTCTCGACATTTGAGTATGCGTTTAATAGTTGTTTGTTTTCGGTTGGGATAATTGATAGTAAACCAATCCTGGTAGGGTCACTGTTATTCCCCTGATTCTGTGCTTCTGGGTTCACATTTGACCCTTGGAAGCAAGCTGCCATAAGTGCAGCTGGAGTAGATTCTGTTAATGATGGCGTTGGATATGGTTGGAATTGCACATCAGCATTTGCCTTCGTGCGAGTATCAGGTAGCATACTAGGAGGGGACGTCTCCCAACCGTTCGCATCCTGCCGTGGTGGAGTCCCTCCCTGGGGTGAGATGTTGGGATTTTGTAGACTTAGGAGATCCTGAGTCTGTTGTATCGCTTCTATACGATCAGTAACACCCAGTTTCGCATTTATGCGACCGGGGAGACTCTCTCCAGACCCCAGTGCATATGGCACTTGGCGGGGATCCTCGGTTACAGACGGTGCCACTCGCATGTTCGGGTGGTCCTCAGGGTTAGTTCTGAGGTTACCTTCCCTAGTCTGATCATCAACTCCGTGGTGCATACTCAAATCCCATTCATGATCCACACCAAACACAATATCATCTTCTCCGTGGGATTCCTCTTGCGAGGTTTCCTCTGTTTGGTCTGGTTCTTTAATTTCTTGGAGGAGGTTGATTAACTCCTCACGATTTAGCTCACGGATATCATCTTTCAATTGTTCAAGATCTCCATGGAAATACTCATCTTCGTTAAATATTACATCTCTCGTCGAGATGACTTCACCAAGCCATGGGTTCCAGATTCGGTAGATATTGGTCGACTGGTAACCTACAAGGTAGCCAATCCAGGCTCTTGGATTGAGTTTCTGTCGGCGTTTTCTCTTGGCCATTGCGTCCTTGGTCATCGCAAACGCTTTGCAGCCATCTTTTGTCATTGCAAAGGCTTTACAGCCGTATACACGGAGATGTCGTAAGTCTGGCTTGTATTGTCGGACGGCAATACCATCGCGATTAGCGAGGAAAGTAAAGAAGCGACCGTATGGTGATTGCCATCGAAGGATATACTTTGGCGTTCGATTATATAAGTAGACAGCAGCCTTGAAGATCTCAACCCATAGGTAGTTGGG